AGGAGGTTGAGGTTCAGGGGGGTAAAGTAATTTTTCTGTGTCCATCTTCTCACGGTCTTTATAAGATCATTGGATCCAGAATCTGTTTTCTTACCTACTGCATCACATAGCCCACAAATAGGAAAGTTTGGGTAACACTGAATCACAGCAGGCTAACAAAAAACATTCTTTTTCTTTTGCAAGACAAATGTCAAATTATTATAACTTGTAGGTTTGCTTTCTTAAGTGAAAGTTTGGCCTTCCTTCCCTTTCAAGTAGAACAATCAAAAATGCATCAGAGAAGCTCGCCATTTGATGTTTTAAAAATCTAGGCAGCACTGCTAGTCTGAAGGACTAACGGTCCTCATTTATGTGGGTGTTTGTGACTGAAAAGGTCAAAAGATAGAAACAATAACTGAGAAAAACACAAGGACACTTTGGATGGTGGTGTCACATCATCCATCAGTTTCTTAAGAGTGGTGGACATTCACTAGTGTCCTTCAAGGAAAATTCCTAAGGCAGCAAACACAGTCACGAATGAACACAACTGGAAGCAGGTTAAGGACTCCGTGAAGACTCCAGAGACGGTCTGCTGGCTGCCACAGACAGCCTCTCAGTCCTGTGCTCTCTGGAGAATTCCGTGTCCGATTGTCTTCTTCCCACCTGCACTGATTTTTCTCCACCTTATGCAGAGTAGGCAGTTCCCTCACTCCTTAGCATCTTTCAGGATTTTCAGCACGAACCTACAGAAGCAACCTCAGAAATAAAAGCATGGATTTCTGTTCTGAGTTAAGGTGTTAGCTGTGAAATAGCAGAAGTTTTAGTATTTCCATTTTGGACTAAGAAGAAAATGCAAGTGGATCAAAATCTAGCACACTTAGTGTTGCAGTACTGCCTTGACGTCTCAAGTTCTTTCTTATTTGTTGGTTTTCCGGCAGATTACTCAGATACTATTAAGGCCATTTTAGGCTGTGCCTAAAATGACCTGCATGTGTGACATGACTTAGATAGTAAAGCCTTGTATAATTTATTCTCATTCCGTATTCCTTGGCTATCATAGCTATTGGTTAAATAAGTATGTTCTGCAAGTCAGTAAGGTGTTTCCTCTTCTACTTTCGTGTTAACACCGTTGGCCCTTTCATTTCCTTTTTTTCTGAACTGTGAATTGGAGACTCTGCTTTCCTGTGTTTCCTTACAATGAAATGATGAGGTTTGTCTTTCTTGGTTTGAAATCCTCATTTTCTGAGGGTCAGAAAATATTGTATCCTGTGGTTCCTGCAAGTGACTAGATTTATGGCTATTAGAAATTATAGCATCTTTGAGTAAATTTTTGAAGTGTTTCCCCCCACCCCCACCCCCCCCAAAAAAAGCCTTTCAGAGTTAGTTATGGTGCTGAACTAATAATAGCCTGTAGAAAATGTGGCTTGGGAAAGATACTCACTATCTTTCCTGGATTCTTCATCCTTTATGGGTCCATCACTGAAAGGGTAAGGTATTGTCCTGAACACAGTGTGTCTCTGAGCTTTCCTCACTGCATGGACAAAGCCCTGTCCCAGAATGCTTTGCCACTGAGCCCTCACTGCCCTGAGGGAGAACATGAGAGTTTCTGCGTTGACATTAGAGCCCTTCACGTCCTATCTAGGTGAATGTCTAATAGCAGCTGGTTGGGTTTTCATTCTGAATTGCGTGAAATCAGCGCGCTCTGACAAAGTTGTTTGGCAGTTGGGTGGTTTTTCATATTCCTTTTAATTATAACCCATCAAGTCTTATGCAATTATTTCTGGGTTAAATTCTTGATGAATGTCATAGCAGTGTGTTTTAATTTAATGGATCCAGAAAAACATCTGTTTCTAATACTTTAAAAGCCAATTTATATGGAAATTCATTTAATACACAGTCAATACAGGGAGAGTAGCAAAAATCAAGATCAAAATGAAAACTCAAACCACTGGGATGTACTAGATTTCCTGTGAAAAGATTTTGCTTATGACAAGGTTCAGCTGCTGCTAGTTAACACAGAATTATCAGTTTTGGAGAAGATAGGAATGTCTTTATGATACTGAAGCATTGGTGAAGTACTTAGCCCAGGGCTAATATTATCTCCCATGGCAAGGACTCGGTTTCCTTTATTTTTACTGCTCTGCTCTGTTTGTAATCCGTTTTCTTAAGAACACCTCATGGGTCAAGATGGCTGCTGATATTCCAGCAATTACAGATGTGCTCCTCCCAGCAGGTAGGAAGCATAGGGAGAGGGGAAGAAGGCTACGCTTTTCCTTTTAAGGACACTGTGGGAAAGTGTTAACCTACAGTTAGTCATTTGACCAGAGTCAGCATCAAGGGAAGTAGATGAGTGTGTTTTTTTCTTTCTTTGATAGATAACCATGTACCCAGAAAAAAATCTGAGGTTCTATTAATATGGAAATTCGGGAGACTAGATACTGGGGATCAATGAATTAGCAGTACAACATAAAGTAACTTTCAAGATACCAGCTTTTTATAGCAAATGAACATCTAGAAAGTCAGCTAGTTCTTTTAAGTCAATAATGTATGTGAAAGAACTAGCACAGTGTTTGGCATACAGGAAGTAATCGATTAACTACTGATGCATCTGTTTTAATTCTAATCACTAAATGTACCTAATTTCAGCGGTTACAGGTCGAGTATACTTTATAGATGGCACTGCAGTCTGGGAATAGCAGCAGTAGCAGCTGATAGGGCGGATACTGCACCTGCGACCTTTCGTTTCTCTACGGTGCTCGTGTGTCTGCAGAGCAGTGATCTCTGCTTCTCTATGCAGAAGACGAATGAGCAATTTTAAGTGTTAAACGATTTCAAGGTAAAACCATTACCAGAGAAACTGCAACTCAGAGGTTAATTAGAAAACAATTTAGAGAAGCTGTTGAAAACTGCCATTGCCCGTCATTGATCCCCACTAGAATGCCAGCTGTGCTGTGTCCAGTGACTGTGTCACCATGGATGGTTTTGTTAATCTGTTTGAATCTTTGCTGCATTTTGTTTTTGAAGTGAGGAAGTAAATTACAGAACTGGGACTTAAATAGATTTCCTTTCCATTGAAGGCTTTTCTTTTTTTTTTTTTTTTTTTCAGTGTCTTTTAAGAAATTTCCTTTAACATAAACTAAGGTCATGTAATTCATATATATAGATTGAGGAACTTGGACCCCGCCTCCCAAGCTCCCACCCTTCCTCCTCTTCCTCCTCTTTTTCCCTTTCTTAATTTTTACAATGATCTACTTTGCTTGATACTCTGAAGATTAACTCTACCCTAAGTAAAGAGTTCAACAAATAGTAAGAAAGGAAAAAAAAAAAAAAAACTTTTCCTCAATGGTAGAGACATGGGCTGTAAACAATCATTGAATGTCAAAATGTGTCATTAAGGAAGCCTACTACCAGATCTGTGGTTCTTCAGCTCCTCAAATGCCTTTATGCGCTAAAATCCCTTTTCATCAGACTGGGCAAGAAATTTCTGGTTCTAGAGCTTCTCTTTGTGTACCCTTTGAATTCTTGTGCCTCTGTGGGGTATGTGAATACAGACAGGTGCACAGCAATACAGAATATTCAAGATGTCACCCTGTCCTCTGGGAAGTACACTGTCACAGGGAGGGAATGATGCCAACAGAGTCCTTTACATGTCACTTTGAATGTTTGCACCGTGACCATTACACCGGGACTCTTTGTTCCCTAATACTTGTCTTTATGTTGACTTCTCAATTTTCATTCTAATCAAAACCATGAAATTCAGCTTTGATGTGATCACTAAATTTTCCTTCAAATACACAATAAAATAAAATAGCCATTACATTTTTGTAGTCGTTTGTTTTTCAGTTGACTCCAACTGGAATCAGGATCACGTTTTGAGAATCCCAGAGTAGTGGAAAAAAGCAAACACATAAAACTGTGCTATTATTTCAACTTGTATGGCTTCGGAAATATTAATTAATGTTTGGCAACTGTAATTTCCTCACTTAGGAGGATAATGATATCAGCCTCATCAGATTTGTTCTAAGGATTAAATGAGGAGCTGTAGCCAGGGCAGTTAGCACAGTGCTTGGCAAATAGGGGGTGGTCAACAAATCATAGGTCCTTCCTTCTTAAAGGCTGTTTCGAAATGTGAGGGTACTTTAAAGAATTCATGGAAAAGTGCAAGTAAAAAATAAAGTTTTGGTTCCCCACAATTGAAATCCATTCCTAAGTTTTTCATGGTTGCATTTTTCTTCAACTTTCTGGAGAATGCTCATGTCAGGCATGTGAATATGGAAATACTATTTCTAAGAGAAGCTGAAGACAGTGGGGTCCCATGATTCTGTAGATGATAGGATGTCCCGAGGAGCTCAGAAGTGGGAAAGGCAGACGTTTCCTAGCAAGGAGAAAGGGAGGCTGGTGCTTCCTTGTCTCTGCAGTTTTCCGGGCTTTTATATAAATGTCATCAGCATCAGCAGGGAGCTGTTAGAAACATGGATTCTCTGGGTGTTTCCCAAACCTCCTGAATCAGAACCTGCTTTTCACACATCCCCAGGTGACTTGAATATGTGAGAATCACTAGTCTGGGGCCTGATATTCTACCTCACATTTGTTTCTGTAGGGGACTGGTCCTGGCTCTGTGTGTCCCCTGCATCAGCTGATTTGCATTTTAAAAAATGCAAATTCTTAAGCCTGCTGTCAACCTGAAGCCAGGAATCTGCATTTCTGGCCACAGTGACGCATGCTATTTGGGGCAGTGGCTTGGCCAGTGCTACATGAAAGCAGAAGTCACTGATAGAAAATGGCCTTTATTATTGAAAGATACTTGGATATCAACAAGGAAGAGAGCTTTTAAGGACAAGAAATGCAGCCTTAATTGTGGTGTTGGTTAAGGAGAAGATCGACTTGAACCTTTGAGTGTCTGGTCCCATCACAAGGTCACATAATGACTGAGCTTCTGAGGGCGACCGTATCTTTAGCAATGTCATATTTTTTTTTCTTTTTGTGTTTTACGTTTTTTTTTTTAACATTTTGTTTTTTAGCCGCGCTATCAAGACTAATCAGGACCTTCTCCCAGAAACTCCATGGACTCACATTTTCTACAATGATTTTTGGGGGACTCTTCTAACCCACAGTGGCAGCCACAAGTCGTACCGGCCACTCTGCACTCTGTCCTTTCGTCTGAACCATGCCATTGGAGGGTTGAACCCCTGGAGCTACCATCTTGTCAATGTCCTGTTGCATGCGGCTGTCACTGGCCTCTTCACAAGCTTCTCCAAGATCCTCCTTGGTGATGGATACTGGACCTTCATGGCTGGCTTGATGTTCGCCTCGCACCCCATTCACACAGAGGCAGTGGCAGGAATCGTGGGACGGGCCGATGTAGGGGCCAGTCTGTTCTTTCTCCTCTCCTTGTTGTGCTACACTAAACACTGTTCGACAAGAGGCTACTCAGCCAGGACCTGGGGCTGGTTCCTGGGGACAGGACTGTGTGCAGGATGCAGCATGTTGTGGAAGGAACAAGGAGTGACTGTTCTGGCCGTCTCGGCGGTTTATGATGTCTTTGTCTTTCACAGGCTGAAAATGAAACAGATCTTGCCTACCATTTACAAAGTAAGTGATTGTTGGCTCTTGAGCGTTGGATTACTGAGTAATCTACTTGCTTGGTCCTTTGCCACCATTTAAATCGCAAATTTGTTCCTCTTCAAGCAGAATTTAAAATACGTTCCTTTTTGATCCTGCCTGAGTGGAAGTGTCCTTTTTGACCTTTCTCTACTAAACAGGGTTTCAGCCATTGCTTGTTTTCCTTCTCGGGTTTCTTAACTTATGTTCATGATTTCAAAGGTGGCAGAAGAATAATTTAGCCTTGTAAAGAATATGCGTCTTTGTCATCGGTTTTTTAATTCATTATTTCTGTCAAAATTCTCTATGATGAATTGCCGATGATGTCATTTGTAAAAATAACATGACTGATAGTAGTGCTTGATGCTGGACGCAGCCGAGGGGAAACCCTCTGCCATTTGTTAATATTACTTTTCCTGAGTTTGGAAAACAGCTCCTTTCCGTAGTGCCCTGGGAAGTCAAATTCTTAAACAATGAATCATACTACTTTACCCTTGTTGTACTGGGTAGGAATAGAAGAGTCCAAACAGAAAGTGAGTCTTACAAGCTTGGCCCTGAAGCCAATGAGGACTTAGCTTCAGGTTTCGCGGTTGCTCCCCTGCGTCCCCAGGTGGTTTCAAATACAATGTGTGGAGGTACAGGAGGACGTCGGGTCTATGCTCTTACCGATTCGGAACGGGTTTTGCTAGGGTGCTCAGGAGCGGAATTAGGGGAGATGGGTAGGCCGAAAAGGTGCCAACTTCCCTGTCTCCCCATCCGCCTCCACTCATGGGACGCTCAGCCTTGCTTTGATTTGGAAGTCCAGACTGATGCTGCCCGCCCGGGGTTCGGGAAGTTTGTGTTGTAAGGAAGCTCTTTGCTTCCCTTTGGGCACAAGTGAGGAATCACTGTTTGGGAAACTGGCTGTGAGGAAGCTGTCAGGTTTTCCTGGTTTTGACCACCTCTTCCCCCTCCGTTCTCAGTCTCACAGTTGTACTGGGAAGAAAATAAAATGCCGGAACAAATGGAGGGAAAAGAAAACCAAGGCATTGCTTCAGTTTTTTTTTTCTAATTGCCATTTTTGTTGCTTTAGTAAGCAGTGTTATACTTTTGTTCTGCAGGAAACGTAACCTTTTCACTTAGAACTCAAGTATCAAGGGTTGAATGAAGTTCTTTGTGATTTCAATTAAATGCTGAAACTTTAAAAATCAAACTCTGGGTAGAGTTTGATGTTTGAAAACAACATATAGCTTGAAAGTCAAGCTCTTAATTTCAAATCTATTTTAATTATTCCTGCAAGGAGATTTGGAAAGAATAGTGGTTTTCCCCTAAAACATTGTTATGGACAGTAACAAATATTTTGGAGGAGAAAGTGAGCGATGCGGACCGAGCCAGTTCTTCAATCCACTCTCCAAGGCCAAATGCCCACACTGTATTTTTTTTTTTAACTTAGGTCAGTAATGTTTCTATCATAGCAGTCATACTCGGCATATTTCTTCATAGTACTAGTGGCCTTGGGTCTGGAGCTCTCATCTCAGTCAGATCCTGGCCCTCAGATTCTCCCTCAATCTGGGCAGAAGAGACCTTGGTGGATTGAAGGCTAAGTCCACCCACCACTGTTCTTGCCACCCTATTACTGCAATAAGAAAATGCAGGTTTCTGTTTGGTCGAGCTGAAGATTCTTCTGAAGAGGCCAATCTGGAGTTTTCTGTGACGTCTCCTGTTTTATCGCATTGGTTGCTGATTGAAAACAAAACAAAACAAAAATCTATTTGGACCACACAGTGTCTTTCAGGTATTTGGATTTGGCCAGCTTTGATTCTTGTAAGATTCATGTACTTCATGCACATACTCATATTATAGTCCGGCTTTTTGGAATTCTGGCAAGGATATGTGCAAGTTAGATTTTTCTGTGATGAGGTATATACTTGGCATATGATAGGTTTTTTTATTTAGTTTTTGTTAAATGCTTAGAGTATTTACATCTGCCAGGCACTGTTCTTCCTTGGCTAAAAATGTTAACACATTTGCCTTAAATGCTTCTTGGGAGAACTTATATGACTTAGGAAATACTATGGTTGAATACTAACAAATTGGAATATTGTTAATAGTTGAAAGAGTTGTCAACCATTGGATACAGCATCTTCAGCAAAACACATGAACAACAAGCGGCACTTTCAGCCATTCCTATTTCTTAGCCTCACAGTCAGGAGTAATGTATGTGCTTTAGGCTCCTTGGCCTCATGCACCGTCTAGCACATAGTGGGTATTCGGTAACTATTGAATTCACGTTTAAGATTTGCTTTGTTAAAGTACATGACGGAAATCTTAAAGGAAAACCCAGTGCACTCTCTTTTTTATTTTTTTTGTACTCTCGTTTATACACTGAGAATTTCCTTCCTGAGAGAGTAGACTCTGGAAGGCAGGATTGGAAGACATGTATGTTAGAAAAATAAATTTTCTTGACCCCCTTACCGGGTGATTATTTTAGCGTTCCTTGCATTACTTTTACTTGCTTGGTTTTATGTGGTCAAAAAATAAGGGCAGGGGCAGGGGATTGAAATACGCTTAAACTAGCCTTGCAAATAAATACTAGGCTTTTATCTGCCCACAAATTTTTTTATAAGCCTCCCGTGACCCCAGGGGGTACATGGATAATAAAATCAGTAAAAGCAACATTTTTCTTACCCAGCATCAGCCATTGTTTGCCTAGTGGCATTTTCTCTGCTTATTTTACATCTGTTAACGGTTTTAATGTGGAAACATCTTTTTTTACCCCCCTTTATTAGCCTCGTAATCACTTATTCAGTTACAGGTGGAAAAAAAAATCTGAAAGCCAGTGCAGTAATTCTAATAGAAGCCAAAGATAATTTGGAAAAATGAGGCCCTTTGAGTTGAAACTTTTTTTTTTTTTTTTGGATTTTATTTATCTGAGAGGTAGAGTTACACAGAGAGGGAGAGACAGAGAAAGAGAGTTGTTCTATTCAATGGATCACTCCCCAAATGGCTGCAATGGCCAGAGCTGGGACAATCCAAAGCCAGGAGCTTCTTTTGGGTCTCCCACTCAGGTGCAAAGGCCCAAGGACTTGGGCCATCTTCTACTGCTTTCCCAGGCCATAGCAGAGAGCTGGATCGGAAGAGGAGCAGCTGGGATTAGAACTAGTGCTCATATAGGATGCCCTAGCCACAGGCGGAGGCTTAGCCCACTATGCTACAATACCAGCCCCTCAGTTTGATCTTTAAAGAATTTCTCTAAAGATGACTACTTTTGTTTTCTTATACAGTTCTTTCCAAGATGTGCATGATATTAAAATTAAATCGTGTTCTCAGTCACATAAATAAGAAGACCATGTTATTATGGGAGAATGGAGTTCTACTTTTATTTTATTTTATTATTATTTTTTTTTTGACAGGCAGAGTGGATAGTGAGAGAGACAGAGAGAAAGGTCTTCCTTTTGCCGTTGGTTCACCCTCCAATGGCCGCCACGGCTGGTGCGCTGCGGCTGGTGCACCACGCTGATCCGAAGGCAGGAGCCAGGTGCTTATCCTGGTCTTCCATGTGGGTGCAGGGCCCAAGCACTTGGGCCATCCTCCACTGCCTTCCCGGGCCACAGCAGAGAGCTGGCCTGGAAGAGGGGCAACCGGGACAGAATCCGGCGCCCTGACCGGGACTAGAACCAGGCCGCTAGGTGGGGATTAGCCTAGTGAGCCGTGGCGCCGGCCGGAGTTCTACTTTTAAGAAACAGCATTCTCTTGCTAGAAATAACTCTTCCATTTAATGCAAAGCTGCATGTGCATGATGGAGGTTGCCCATGGTTAATGAAATTGGTCTTTGTCTTGAGTATTGCTTAAGCTGGATTCTTCTACATCGAGTTGCAGTGATCAGACCCAAACTGACAAACGACTGCTTATTTCCAAACGGTTCACTGGATTTATCTTGAATGATTTCTGAGGGTAGAAGTTTATGTTCTGTTAAAGATTCAGCCACTATCTGAACACTAGAGATGTTATGTGCTGCCATACATCTGACTGTTTTGTGTGGCTCCCTGAGTGTGAAGAAGAAAACGAACAGCTTGAAGGTATTTGCAGTATGTGCACAGTGAATCCACATGTGCTTTTTCATTAATTATGTACTGAAGATGGCATTGGTGGAGTCTGTTACTCTTTATGGTTTTGTTCCTTTTGTTTCTAGAACAGTTTGTGGTTTTTCTCAACCTATTGTGGCCTGCATATCCCTTGCTCTGAATGAAAAGCAATATGTTTGCTGTTTCTGATTTTCTTCAATCAACACCTGTGCCACTCTACTTCAAATAATGTCCCAACCTTCCTGTCATACTCTTTGGCTTCATTTGCCTTTCGCTTGCCTTTGTGGGAACCCAGATACAATAAGATACCTGATTCTGATCACAGTATTTCTTTGCTTTATTGAAACTGTAGGGCTATTTGTCATGCACTTACAAATGAATTTGGATTTCTTCCCAGTAAACTTGTTGTAGCATTTAATATTCATGACCTCTAGTACTATAAAACTTTGAACAGCTGCCAACACTGCTAACCAGATAATACGACAAATGAAGTTGAGGTTCAAAAATATTTTACAATTCGGAAAGTCAAAGATTAATAAGATATTTTATCTCTGCAGGTTGGCGCCTTGGCTTAGCTGATGTCAGGTGATTCTGTATTCTGGCTGCGGTTAAGGTTCACGTTGAGTAGTTTACATCGGGGAAGCTGACGACCATTGCGAGCTTCTCCAATGCTTGCATGACAGTGTTTAATACTTGGAACAGTGATCTATTCACAGAATGTTTTACAAAGAAAAATACCCCTGTCTGCCAAGTCCCACATTCGGAGTGCTAGGGGAGTTTAGAAGAAGGGAAACTTATTTTCTGCAGGGGGAATCAAGAAATTGCTCTGGAGTGGAGACATTTTGAGCAGAGCCCCAAAAGATATTTTGGATGTGGACACCTTCTGTTGGAGAAGTGAGGAAGAGTGGAAGGGATGGTGTGAGTCTG